ATTTAAAAGGTAATTTGCTGATAACACAGCTTTCCCCCACATGTTCTGAGGTAACCCAGAACTTACGAGCATTGCATTCATCATCTCTTTTAAGGTACGATTTTTTCGTTCAGTAACACCATTTTGTTGCGGTGAGTAAGGGGCGGTGGTTTCATGTATGATTCCGTGTTGTGCATAGAATTCAGCAAATGGTGCTTCATACTCACCACATCGATCACTTCGCAGCACCTTAATTTTCTTATTAAGTTGATTCTCAACTTCATTCTTATAGAAAATAAATTTCTCTATAGCTTCATCATTACTTTTAAGCAGATATACATAGCAGTATTTTGTGCTATCGTCGACAAAAGTAATAAAATACTTGTTGCCACCTCTTTGTTTGTACAAGTTTTAGATCACACACGTCACTGTGAACTAAATCTAGTGGTTCTATGTTCCGTTCAATTGATTTAAACGATGACCTTGTCAATTTTGTTTCAACACAAGTTTCACACATGTTTGGAATCGTTGTTGAACTTAGGTATGCAGTTAGAGTTAACTAGTATACGTAAAGTATCATAGATAACGTGTCCTAGTTTACCATGCCACAAATTGGAAGATTTAAGCAAATAAGCAGAAGAACTTGCTTTATTCATTTTTGGTTTCACAACCATTACATTGAGTTTAAACATACCATCGGAAACATAACCTTTTTCGATAAACATTCCACTTTTTGATAGAATGACTTTGTCTGACTCAAAAATAATGCGGAAACCATGCTTATTCAACAACGACCCGGACACTAAATTCTTGCGAATTTTCGGCACATAAAGCACGTTGTTGAGAGTCGGCTCCATTCCCGAGGTCATTTTCAGAACCACTTTTCCTTGACCCTTGATTTCAGAAGTTGCTGAATTTTCTATGAATAACTTCTCCCCGTTCTCAATAGTTTCGAACGTATCAAACATCTCTTTATCAGAACACACATGCCTTGTAGCATCGGTGTCAATCCACCACTCTTTAGGATTTGAACCCACCATGTTTACTTCAGAAGACTGCTGCGAGATTCAGCTCCGACACATCTTGTGCCATGTAGTCAACCACGTTCACTTCTTTCTTCTTCTTCGGTAATCTGCACTTCGAAGACTTGTGACCCACTTTGTCACAATTGAAGCATTTCCCTTGGAATTTCTTCTTGACAATTCTACCCTTCGGTCCTTGCTTGGTTCTTTTGCCACCGGATGGCCCAGACTTGTTTTTGTAGTTCTTACTACTTTGACCAAGCTCCACAACATTGGCTTTGGCCACACCAGGATTGAACCACTTCTTCTCGGAACTCTTGTTGTCTTCTTCGATTCAAAATCTAACAACGAGTTATTCGACGTTCATTTCCTTTCGTTTGTGTTTCAAATAGTTCTTGAAATCTTTCCACGCGGGGGGCAATTTTTTTATAATTGCAGCCACCTAAAAAGTTTCACTCAACATCATTCCTTTGGCATGAATTTCGTGAAGGATCATTTAGAGTTCTTGCACTTGACTGATAACAGTTTTGGAGTCCACCATCTTATAGTCTAGGAATTTGTCGACTATAAACTTTTTAGCCCCGGCATCCTCAGTTTTGTATTTTCGGTCCAAGGACTCCCACAATTCCTTAACAATTTTCTTGGTGCTATACACATGGTACAACGCATCTGCTAGACTGTTCATGATATAATTTCGGCACAGAAAGTCCGAATGCTTTTAAGCATCAAGTGCACTCAATGCTTGCATCTCCCTCGCCCTCATTAAGATTTGGAGCAGTTTCAGTCAAGAATCTCGCAAGATTCAAGGTGGTCAAGTAAAAAAACATTTTTCTGCTGCCACCTTTTGAAATTCAAGCCATTGAATTTCTCCAATTTTTCTCCATGATTAATCGGAACAGTTACAGTTTGGCCAATTTGGCTCACAACATGACTTGGCATTCTAGCCACAGTCTGAGCCACAACGGAGCTTGGCCATTGAGCCACATTAGAACCCACAGCCTGATTTCCAGCGGGAACATTTTGGGTCACATCCATGTTGTTCAATTCGATTGCCATTTCTGAAAACAAACCAAATATTAGTTCCAAGAAACTACAATTCAATGAAACAAAAAAAAAAAAAAAAAACGACTCTTGTTTTTGAAAACCAAATACTAGTTCCAAGTAACTAAAATTCAGTTAAACCAAAAACCAACTCTTGTTTTTCGAATTCAGAAACTGTCTTAAGCTTGTAAGAAAACAAGTCTCTAGTAGATGAAACCAATTGTATAAGTTTTATTCAAATGCAATAGCCGACTATTGAAATTAATAACCACAAGGCAAACGATTTCAATTTATAAAAAAAAAATTCGTTTCAGAATTTTCCAACGGCTGAAAAAAAATGTTTAGCAACATAAAATCAGAAATATAAGTTAACTGCAGGCTAAAACTACAAACGATTAATTTGGAAGCTGCACACTATGGAACTACAAACTGCATAAATTAAATAGTGATGCGAAAATAATCTGCAGAAATAAATGGAAACTGAAACTGCAAGGATAAACTGAATCTGCAAAGAAACTTCAGGAACTGCAACGAAATAAATCTATAGAAAGAAAACACAAACTGCAACAGATTTCAAACCGAGGCCTGTGTGTGCACAGTTCCTTAAGACAGTTTCACTCTCTCACCGTAGGTGCTGGAGGTTCAGTTCGAGTGGCTGTCTCCCAGGATACAATGATAATAAGCAGAATCTGAGCACCGAGGTCCTACTTCGGCTAACTGCACGTGACTAGAAGGGAACAGAAACTACACTGTATGAAAACTGGAGCTGGGAAAAACGACACTGTGTGGAAAATTGGGAAGAATATTTTCGTATGTAGAGAGAAATTTTCGTTCGTGTTGGAGTGAGCGTCCCTTATATAGACTGAGTCCTGTCCATTGGAGTTACAACATTAACCACTGGAGTTTTTGCAGTTTAGAAACTCAAAAGTCATTGGAGAAAGTCAAAAAATTGGCAAAACGTGGAGAGAGCATCTACGCTACACATGATTACACATCTCCAAAGCATAGCCATATATAAAGTGGTTTAAGTTTCCTTGGTTTTCTTATGTGGGATAAATGCATTTTTCTCACAAAATCAACTTCCAATGACCAATTTTGAGCTCCAATTTCTCATTCACCTGATCTTTATTTTTGACAAATAAATACATGAAATCGATGTTCTCGCGGAAGAGAACACATATCAACTTTGATATTTCACATTGGACCAACGGATCCCATCGAAAATTGTGCCAAAAGTGAGCTGCTCACTCAATTTTTTCCATCAACATAAAGCTACTAATCCACTTGTACCCAATTTTTTTGACATTTTCGTTGAAGAGGAACTTAAATTTAGATTCACCAGATTATAAATGAGGACGTGAATGTATTTTTGAAAACATTAATTTACACTCAAAAATTTTGTTGAGAATGGAAGTTAATTCTTTAGTGCCAATACGTGCCTACCAAACATCAATCTATAACATGGAAAGAAAGTGGAGACTTTTAGGTGGTTTGGGGGCCACGACCCTTGATTGACTATGATGTTGTCTTCTCCCATTTGGGAAGATTGCGTTCACACCCTAAAACTTTTTGGGAATATACATGACACCTAAAACATCATTAAATTTTAATGGTGTCCCTATATTTTTCCTTTTTATTTGTCACCTGTTTTGTTATGCTTAATAAATATATTTTGTTTTCTTTTTACTCTCGCTACATCCCTACGAGTGTTTATTTTTTCTTTCTTTTGCAATAAATGGAATTTTTCGTCTCATTTCAGCTCAACTGTCATTCCCAATATCCTGAATTATAACTTTTAACACAATGTAGTGACAATACCCAATAGTAGATTTGAACAATTATGATTCCTGGGATTGATTGTATAATTATAACAACCGACTCGAGATTAGCTCGGTACTCGAGTAATATGTGATAGAGAGTGTAGTTTTTCCAAATATTATAAGTATAGGTCTAACCGTATAAAGGAAAATTATAGAACCAGTTGCACCTCAACCTTTTTGGCGCATTAAATTCTACAAACATTGTTTTATGAAGTATTTGGGTCTTTTGGATATAAATAATGAAAAGAATAGACATTTTAAATCCTAGAATAAATATTTTCCCCTAGCAGTTAGATATGACAAAACAAAACTTATGTTTCTTGGTCAAGTCATAGGAGATTCTATGAGTGCTTTTCGGATCCATTGTAAAAAACATTGGTCTCAATTCAAAATGCATAATGACGACATTATCTACCTTCTCTGTTTTCTATAAACCTATATTTTGAAAATCAGACTTCATAGGTAAGTTCGACTCGTAAATTTGAAACCTGGAATAGAAACCAGTTCAATTACACAGTAAGAGCCTGTCAGCAATTATTGTAGAAAAAAAGATTTTTGAATAGTAATTTTCAAGAAAATGTGTGGTTAAAAAGTAGTAAAAAGTTTTCGATATATGTGTAAAATATTTTTTTGTGTAAATGTGTTATTGAAAATTGTCCTATAACAAATCATAAAATAAATTAATGGTTTGTCAAACGGGCTTTAAGCCCTTGTTTGGTATCCATTATTTTCAAAATACATTTTTTTTCTATTTTATTTTCAACTATACTTTCTTCAATAAAATAATATTACACGTTCTCTAATAAAATACTATTCCAAAATGCATTGTGGACAAAAAATGGGGCTCAAAAATGCTGTAAAAACTGCATCATTCAAAATTGGATGTGGTCGAGGCAGATTGCCCACGCCTAGTAATTATGTTGTTGTGTCTGAGTTGTGAAGGCTCATAAAACATGAATAGTTCAATGTTTTCATCGACACTTGACCCTGAGGAACTTGATCAACCAAGAAATGGATGAACATACTAGGGGTTAAACCAATTTCTTGGTTGCCATTTTAAAAGAACAAAATGTGGTCAACTGATATCAATACACTAGCAAGCAAAATATTATAAGTTCTCAAGAAAGAAGAGCCTCTGTGAAAATAAGATAGGTTTTGATGGCTTTTGGATCTTTTTTACAACGAAGTACCATGTCTTGATCAGTACAAACTTCCCATGTATAAGTGCATGTCCCAACTAATTTTGACATACATTTTCGAAAAGAAGCTGTTGGGATTACAATATTTCAAGACAACAACATCCATTTAAGAAATACAAATACCAATCAAACAGAATTTAATAGGCATCTCTAAAACCAATTTTTGTGTCCTACATAGAGAAAAGTACTCTGCTCTCGCTATCCATGATGATTCTCGGGGTCAATCCCACTCCTCGTTCGAGAGAAATTTAACAAAACCATTTCTAGCCTTCCCGCCACTAGTGAGATTACCCGGTGGAGATGCTGGTGATTCCTCATAGTTCCCATTGATCAAAGGAGTAGAATTCTCTCACAATGTTTTTACAGGATCTGAATCACATTTTGGAACAAACGTGTCGTTGGAGTGCGTCCTCCATAAATATCCATTGGTACCAGAACTCAGTGGTCCTCTAGAAAATCCGGGTAGGTTTGCAGTGTCTATCAAGAAGTCTTCCAATGTTGCCAAAGATTGAAGCTGTCTTCCGAGAGAAGCAATTGTTTTCTGGCATTCTGCGAGCTTATCAGCAGCTACAGCTAGGTCCTCCTGCAACAACAACATAGTTTCATTATTATGTTTCTTGTTAAACCAACCGTTACAGAGAAGACACAATTATTATTTAAAATACCACGTGCACATCAGATCCATTTTCTCATCAAAGGCCCAATACGTGAAAAAGTTTAACAAGCGAGTATCAACCAGACTTAATTCTAAGACATTGGCATGCTCTAACATTATTGTGAACCTCCTCATTTAAAAGCTTAAGCTAATAAAGAAGGGACAAACTTATTTATTTAAAATCTTTAACATTTATTTTTCTGTTTATGCACATTAAAATGTTTCTAGGAACAAAACATGTAGAAACTAACCTGCTTTAGTTTCAATTCACCATTGGGGGCTGTATTATGCTGAATCTCTGTCTCATGGTTTTTTCTATTTAGTTCATTCTCCAATTCCTGATACTTCAGTTTCATTTCCGTTGACGAATTTCGTTCAATTTCCATTTCTGCTTTTAGGGAATCGATAGTCGCTGACATGGTCCGTGCTTCGACTTCCATACCAATTAATTGAAATTCAAGCAACTCCTTTGCTTCATTAACAATACCCAGCCCCCTTTGTAACTCTTCAATTTTCAATTCAGATGCTGCCAGTTGAGCTTCAGATTTATTGAGTGAATCTCGAGTCTCATCTAAAGCATTCTCCAATTTCGATTTCTCTGTTTTTATCGTCTCTAACTCTTCCTCTAGTTGAGCTACCCGGCAAGTCATTCTTTCAAGCTCATCACTCAATGATTTCTCAGTCGAAGTGGATTCTCTGGCAGTATCAACACTTGAAGTGCCATTCTTTATTTCTGGTAATGCGGCAAGGCGCTCCATCTCCAGAAAATCATCCATCATATCAATTTCAACAGAACAGGCGGCAAGACTTTTAGGCATGGACTTTTCGTTCTTAAATTGATCAAGCTCTGCTATTAAGGCCGAGGCCCATGAATAGGAGCCACTCTTTTCATGTCCATTCAACTCCACCTCCACATAATTCACCTTGCGATTATCAACTTCTAAAGCACTCAGCCGTTCCCCACTATCTGAGTGACTATCAGTGAGAGATTCAACAGAGAAAGAAGAAGCCATAATGGACTTCTGATCATTGAAAGAGGGTGATTTGCGAGCCAATGATTGCAGCCTTCGACACTCAGCTTCAAGCTTAGCAACTTTCTTTATATTCTCTAACTGCAGCTTGCTAGCAGTTTCTGCTGCTCGAGTGCTTAAATCCCTCTCAATGGTCCGAATCTCTAGCTCCTTCGACAGAGAAATGAGTTCCTGCTGAAAAGATGAGTTCTCTTTCTCCATACCCTTAAGCCTAAGGAGAATATTAGCATCAATACAAGCAGAATGATCAGTTTTGGAAGGTTCTGCTTGGGTCCGGAGCTCAATAATTTGGTTCTCGAGCTCAGATTTTGCAGATTCCCACTCGCTGGTTTTCTCCACCGTAGTCTCCCTTGCTTGTCTCAGTTGTCTTACACATTCCTTGAGGGCACCATCTAGATGACTGGATCGAACTTCCAGGTTCAGATTCTGCTGAATTGCGGCCTCCAGCTGCTGCTTCAATGCAACAACTTCATTCTCTGCCCTTTCCCAGCCTAAAAATCAAGTAATGTAATTAAGGATTAGAAAATGTTCTGAGTTTAGTAAACGGAAAAGATAAGTAAAACACAAAGTGCATGTTTCACATGCAATGGACAATATGCAGCTCGTGACAAAAGACATGATTTATAACTTGTTCAGAGTGATATGAATTGTATGGGTCTTGGGAATTGCACGGATTATGAGTACAATCCTAATGCCCAACCTTTCTATCATCATTACATACATGTCAACACACAGGAATTCAATGATCTTCCAACTAGCTTCAAACCTAAGTCCCCCTCCTAACGAATATGACTCTGCTGACGATTCTTACGAATGCATCACAACACGAATGAAGGCAAATGAATACCAGATGTCCCCTTAATCTTGATTTAACTATAATCAATTTATCTTATGCATGGCGGCCATTGCCACATTAGTTTGAGATAAGTATTATTTATCAATTTTTGGAGGTAAGGTCTAGCCCTCCTAAGTTGTACTCTTTTCTATTTTTTTTCGCTAAATAACATGCCACAGAGTGTGGCTTCAATTTATTAGAAAAAAAAATCATAACTTGTATCCATTTCTGAATCATATCCACTGCAGTACAATCAGGTATACCATACATGCCTAAAATGCATCAGAATAATAGTTTTCAGAGGCATTCCAGTTTGACTTGATACAATTATTGCAAGTAATTTTTTTTTTTTTTTTTTTATTTGAAAAAGTTATCCACGAGCATCCCACACTCCACTCCCAATCCCATTGAACTTATTCTTTGCAGGCATTTCTAGGAGACAATATTTTAGAAATTTATTTGTTTTTTGGATGGGTGGTGTTCCACCAGTTTATCTCAAAGGTTAAGCTATTAGAAAGGGGACAAATGTATTTGTTTAAGTTTTGTCCTTAACACACACCCTCGTGTGTAGGCTAACTTATTTTTCCATCAAAGGCATACATGTGGACAATTTTTATAATGAGTGAAAATGTATAAAAACATGGAAATGAGTAAAAAGTTTCTTAACCAAATCGAAAACTATTACCAGCCACAGCTTCTTCAGCAACTTTGGCATGCTGCTTAACCAAGTCTTCTTTGGCGCCAACATTGACGAGTGCAGCTGATAATTTCTCAGTCAGATTTCTCACATTTTTCTCGACTTCGTTTTCAACAATCGCAGCTTTCGACGTGACTTCCGGTGATTGTGTGTTATGATTTGGAGAATCCTTCAATGCATCCTGCTGCTTGAACGTACCAAAATAGAAATCACAACAATGCAAATATGAAGTCAGATATTTTAATCCAACAGATTTTCTTAAAGTACGTAATAACATCAAAAACTTTTAATTTATTCTAAAGGCTCATGACCTTTAACATAACGTTTTACCAATCGTTCAAAATAATACAAATTGCAGGATATAAAAACATCTAGCTGATATTCACTTTCGAGTTGCACTATATACGATGGCAAAAATAAAATCATTTCCCTATTTGCAACTGCATGAGAATCATATTAAGCTCCATTTATATGTTTCTAGAAAATGATTATTTTTACCGTTCTCTTTTCTCCTTTCGAAATCCTTAAATAATTGAGATTCAACGAGAATCATTAACTCATACAAACAAGATGAAATCATGGTGGTTCCTGGAAAGGTTGCAATAGGAGATTCATAACTTCCATTAACCATTTACACGTTAGGGTCAGCTCAAGGAATAGAAGTCAGTTATTATGGTTAACCAATTAAGTCCTAATCCCAATTAATAAGAGCAATGGGAAAACAAAAACAAGCAAAGAGTACATACATTTATAGTGATTCACTCACAAAGTTACTTCCACTTGCCTGAAGGTTTTCACTATGAAGAAAAATGATTTCAACGGCAAACTCTTGTCTCTAAATTTGCATTACTTAGATAGGCCTCATTAAAATATTTTGCATGTAGCTTAGGAATATTAGGTCAGCATAATACAAATATGGAATATAAGTCTATTGTATGATTAGGCTCCAAATAGTTCAAACATCAATAATTCCATGGTCGTTTTAGCAAATATGCATTAGTTTTATTTTTCATGAGTCAGAAACTTGAAGCTAAGAGAAGAATTCAATTGCTAACAACAAAAAAGCTTTGAAGACATATTATACTGAGAGACCGGTTGAAATCTAGTCAACGTATTTGAAATGAAGAAAACATCAATACTAAACGAAACTGGTGATCCTATGTGAATACATAGTGCAATACATCAACTGCAAGTGCACAGTTTTAGAACAATGGTAAGCACAAAAAGGACTAGAATGAAACACATTTTGAGGTTGAATGATCATTTACCTGCTCATCAGAGTATCTCTCTGAATGTGAAGATATTGAACCCGAGCTTTCACTTTCACCCGGGCTCTTCTCAGAAGATCTCTTCTTCCATAACCATTTCCTCTTTTCCATCTCAATGGCCAATCAAATCTCCCACAGGCTCATAATCTCAAAGAAGTATTCAAATCTGCAGATACACCCACAAATTGCATTGAATAAAACAGAAGCAATAAATAATAACCCTACATAAATTACAGAAATATATGATTAATCACAATAACTCCTTTTGAGAGAAGAAATGTAGCGGATTTATCGAAATCCTGAAAATTTGAGTTGGCTCATCTTTGCTTCAAATTCAACCAACTGAACACATCCAACCACAACAAAACTAACACTTATTTCAAAAAACTCACTTTAGAAACAAGACTTTTGTAGCTGTGGTAAACTAACAAAAAACACACAACTGTGTGTTGGCACGGGGATGAGGTTAAAAAAAAACAAACAAATATTTTCTTTTATTTATTTTTTTATTTTTGATGGGGGGCGGGGGGTCGTTGTGGAGGGGAGACAGAAATATCAGAAAACCACCAGGTATAATCAATCAAAGATTCATTCTTTGAAGTAATAAAAAATATCCAAATGAAGCAACTCCTCTAAATAAGGTGAAAAAATCAAAAATCAAAAACCGAAATGGAAAACAAAAAGATTTAAATAAAACAGTAGCTAGCAAAAGAAATGCACCTGAGATGAAGATCCAAGAATGTCCAACTGAAAAGAATCAATCTTTGAGCCACAAATCCAAAATAATTAGCGTCTTATTTCCCGAAGGTTTTTATTTTCATACATAAAATTTTGTTTTTTCTTTGGTTTTTAGATTTCCCAATAAAAAATCCAGCTATTTCAAGATCCGTAGAATGCCGGGAAGAATTCAGGCAATCGCCCACAAATTTTATCTCCAAGATGATGGCTTTTATTTTCCTTTTTAATTATTTTTGGGATTTTTAGCATCGCGTTTTGAGACACGCATGTGAGGTTTGAATGAACACTGACGAAAAAGACACTTTTTCAGCTTTTCTATGTGTACTTTTTAACTATATATTATTTTTTTTCTTATTAATAATTTTTTGAAATTAATCTGGTGTTATTCCCGCCCATGAATCCAATCATTGATCAAGTTTTGCTGTGCATTCCCTATTTTCTTTGATTTGTTTTTGGATTTTGCTCATCTTGAAGCCAAATCTCATCTACCAGCTGTTATCAATTCTTGATCTCTGTCATTCGAAATTAATCCCAATTTAATGTTCATTAAAAAGAGGGGTTTAATTTTTTTTTTGGGAAAAAATAAGTTTTGAAATAGTACTGTTTGAAGAATGTATGATTAGAAATTAGGAAAAAAAATTGAGTTTATACGCAAAATATTTTATTGTAAAAATGTGTGATTGGAATTGAATTTTTAGAAAAAACGAATTTTTGAAAATTATCGACAAGCATGAGCTTATAGAGAATTTATTGTAGTATCTAGCAATACTTAAAATTGGTATGGATATTAACTCAAAAAAGAAAAAAAAAATCAAGAATTAAATCAAAGTTCATCGATGGTAGACCGTTGAAAAAAATTAATTAGATGAGTAAAGCAAAAAATTTGAATGAGTCAGTTTGTGTGAACTGGACGTTTCACCTCAAATTGGCTACTTTCAACGGATTCTATTTTAACGGATTCTAATTTTTTATTCTTGGCACATAACAAGATTGATTCCAGCGCACTACTTTTCTTAAATTATTAAACTTCATTGTCAAAAGAAATAGTTAGTTTATTTTTAATTTTAACTAATGAAAGAATTATTATTCTAATATTTAATATATTAATATTTAGGAGTCAAAATATTTTAACTTAGACAAACATGCGCTACAGATGAGTAACGAAATTCTTGAAAAAAAATAAAATAATAATTATATCATATAGAAATAAATATATAAAAAAAACTAGATATTTCTTTAATGAAAATACTTCACTTTTGTGAAAAATTTATAAGTAGATAGAAAAAAGTGGTGAATACTGCTTGAAATATGTAATTGAAAATAAAGTTTGATTATCTATATATGATTTATAAAATTTGTCAAACGAAGGATAACAAATTCATGATGCACGTGTCACACCCCTCGTCATGAAAACGGGAATTTTGGTCGTAACTCTTAGCTGCATTGTGTGAAGGAAAATGATGAGTATACAGGGGTTCTGTGGAACAGAATCCTTATCAACACTCACAAACAATGGGTCCCACACGGGACTCACTTGTATTAAAAAAAATATATATTCCACCCACCACTCAGTGTATGTGAGTGTTCGATACAGTTCTGTGAACCCATACATGTACGTATATCACCTCCCTTGTGTGAAAATCAATAAAACTTTTGTAATTAACTCCCCTTGCTCGCTATTTTTCCTATAACTAGAATACTCACCAACACCAATCATGAACAATGTATGTACCTTAATCTAATCATAGAATACCAAATATCTCATGAATTCAAATTGAATTATGCTACATATATAATCTAGTTTAACAATTTTGATTGACAACTCACACTTGACAACATCACATTCATTCATTTCAAAAGTTATTTTTTAAATCAATGGCTTGGATTTTGATGGCACCAACATTATCAAATATAACTGTACAAATAGATTAATTTATTGAAATTATGCAAAACCATGGAAGATTTTCATGAGAAAGAAAAGTGGAGAGAGACGGAGAGATTATCGAGCATCGTCCTAGGTAAAAGGAATAGTGAGCGAATTTTCTTTCGTTAATCCCAATTCGGAGTCGAATAGTTCTCATGTCTTTCTTAGTTGTAGTAATCCAACTAGCAATTTCGGATACATTTTTGATGAAAGAAGCAAGCTACAGGTCTAACGACCAAATCTATATTCCATTGAATTCAGTTTTGCCACAAAATTATGAAATTTGGCTTAAAAGAGTATCGTCATGCTTCGATATTAAAGATTTATAACATTGATAAAACTCTAATTCAACCAACCACTCATCCACTGATCTGCCCGCATCCCCAGTCGGGGATGGCAACAGTTCCACAATATTTTTATTTTTATTTTTTTTTCTAATATGTATATATTTTGCCCTTGTCAACATTTTTACGTCCCTTCATTGTAATGTAATAATTAAGGACCTAATTCGACTATACAATAAAATTAGCAATAAACTAACCAAAATAACAAATAAAATTGCCTATTAAAACTGGTTCAAGGTTAACTAAGAGTTCATACTTGCACAAGAATCACGAAAGGAAAAGACATCAGATAAAATAGCATGCAATATTTTAGTCAAAATTGTGCCTTTTCCACCTAACTAAAACAAGATACCTTCTACTTATACCTGACATTAACAAAACCACTGCCTGCTAATCATGCAATCAACAAATAAATGAAAGTCAGCACAGAACACGAGCATTCAGCATGTTTGGTATGTGCAATACTTGATCGATCCAACTAGATGGTATAAGTTACTTCTAGTGTTATCCAATCCTCCTTGTCAAACATGCCATCGAAGAATTTGCAACAATAGGAATCGAGACTGTACAGATGTTCATAATTCACCTAAAAATGATAAACCTCCTAGATGCTGCCAGTCCTTTTAGCATCAAGAACACAACCCCTTGTAACTTCTACAAATGGGAACTTCCCTAGCTAGCTTATTGCAAGCTGTATAGTTTTTCCTTTTGCTTTATTCCTAATTTAATCGTTACAAATTCAATAGTTTTTCCCGAGCAAATCTGTACCATTTCCTTAAATGGTCTGCTTCAAACCTCTCATCATTAAAAAGCAATACAGCTCCCTTCATTGGCTATAGTTTCAATTTGACATAATTCATCTCTCATCATTACCTAAAGATCTTTCCTCACCTTTTTTCCTAGTTTAACCACATATAATTTACACTATCTAATGGGAACCGTTTAACTCATCACAGCTCTAACTATTCCTATGACTCCGGCCAGTATTTTGTAACCTAACATGTTCATGTGCTAACAAAGCCTCAGAAGTGAAGTTCTCCAAAGCCTTAAAGATGGGAACCAAACCTCCTTGTAAACTGCTAGAAGCCGCATCATGCACCAATTTGATAGCATCCTTGTGCTTTATCCTCTCATCAGCCGCTCGTTTCCTCAAAGAATCCAAGTCCACCTTTAGATCATCCAATGACGAAACTCCATTTTCTGAAGGAACCATAGACAAACTAGTTTTGTCAGACTTTGAGTCATGTTCAAGCTCCATTCTTCCCCTCTCCATCCTGCGCGTCCTAAGCTGTTTCTCAAAATCCTTCGATACATAATCCGCTTTGAGCCTTTGACGCTGCTCTTCGTTTTGTTTTTCCCACAGCTGTCGCAAGCTTGAAGCAAACGTATTCATTGTATTCGCCACCCGCACCTCGGATATGGCTTCCATGGCTTGATTCCAATCATTACAAATTACAAAAATGGAAGGAGCTCCAAGCTGGCCTGGGGAGTAGGGAACAGGGCCGTCAGGGGTTTCTTCGGGCTCATATTGAAGACACCGAAGAAGCCAGCCATTTAAGGATTCAACATATGACTTTTGAGTGCCAATCCAATCATTAAAATGTTCACACCATTCACGAAGCTCCATCTCCAGTTCAGCCGTTGCCCTCAAATTTGATTCTGTTCGGGAACCTGTGTTGGCTCTGAGCCTCCGTATTTTACTCTCCATGATAGCTTGAAACTGATTCTGATGACACTTGAGCATCGACTTCCACATTCTGATCAGCCTACATATTACAAGCTACCAATTAAATGAATTGTAAGAGCATGCATCTACAAGATATTTAATTCAGGAAAGGATCATCATATTACATTAATAATAAAAGATAAAAGACGGAATAAAAAGGTTACCCTACAATAAGGGAGAAGTATAAGTTGGTCTCAGTTGCGGTTTCTGCAGTGGTGGGGGTAAAGAAACTTTAAACCAACACAACATGCTATCACTCAACTCTAGTTAAAAATTCAAATAAATAAAGAAAAATGACAGAATATGGTCGAAGAATCTGCAGCAGATTTCATCAAAAGAATTTGCAATTATTTATAAGCTCAACGAACCACTAAATGGAAGAGAACCTTCCCAATTGCCACATTATTAAATTATATTATACAGAATGACAAACGGGGGGATGGGTGTCAGTAGTGCTAGTAAGTATCCATAATAGTTGGGAAAAATTATTCGAAGTTCCTTTACATATAAGTTCTTTAAGAAATAGGACACGGGATTTCATGTATTGAGACTATTATCGATTATATTGATTTTTAATACGGATTTCTTCCCATTTTTCTTTCTATTTCTGTCTTTTCCTCTCTGTGTTACGTCTTGCATCGGTAACATCTATTCAAACTCAGATTAAAATGTATCCCATATTCAACAAAAACAGAATCAGACCCAAGCTCAGGTCTAGAACCCAAGACTAAAACCAACAAACAGATATCACAAATCAAAGTTGTATACAATGTTGTGTAATTCATCAAATCCAGCCGATAAAAAATCAAGAGAACTTACATTGTAATATGAAAAACATATGGTATAACTTATTGAGTAGTCCCTTCCACTCCCCTCCACTTAACTGCCTTTGTTCTTAATTCTTATCTTTCCTTTGACTTTTTCTTATTCCTCGAATTTGATCGTGGCAAATGGTAACTAATTTACCTTTTTTATGTAATAAATCTATATCTTGCTCTCCTACTTAACAGCTAATCATGGCATGTGCATCACAAACAACGGCAGTGTATGTAGCACACAAACATATAAAAGAGAGTGGCCGTGCTTGTGGATATGCACAAGCCAGCTTTACTGCTGAGCATTTTGTATGATAGACTCAAAAAATCAATGCAATCAGTTGAGTATCAAAACACGAAAAAAATGTCAACAATTTCATTCATCCATTTACATATATAACAGAAGGGGAACAATAAAATACTACCGAGAGAGACGGATTAAGCAAGTCTACTCACGGCTCCATGCATGTTTGACAATGTGCCACAAATCTATGAGGTTGATTACATAAAAAAGAGAATAACAGCAAGCATGTTCATACCCATGAATCAATTCAGCAATTTGGGGTTGCAACTCTCTATCCCTCAACGTGTGTATCCTGCTCGAAATTGCATCAATTGCTTTAATGCTAACCTTAAGCCTAGTTAGCAATCTTCTGATCGCAGCTTGAGTAGCTTCAATCTTACCAGAATCGGCTCCTTTCTCATCTAAACGTTCTAGCCTCTTGCATTGCTTTTCATATATAACACGCAGTTTTTCTTCTTCCTGATCAAAGTTACCAACAATTAAAACTGAGCGAGATTGAATACCTAGACAACCTGACAAAGTATCTTTAGGGCAGAGTTACATAATAATTATTAAAAGAATAAGAGAAAAGAGAAATTTCAGGTAAGGTCTGAACACATGCATCATGCAGTAAGCTCACTTCAAACCCTCAGAATTCAAGCGCCTATAGCCACCTCACAAAAGAATAAACTATGATTTGGGGGAACCAAGATATGTTGAGCATTTCTACAATCTTATCTTATCTACCGGTACACAGAAAATTCTAAATACATGAAGTCATTTCAGAATCTGCAAATGACACATATCAAGAGCGGCACAGATAATAATTTATTTGTTTGACATAGATCCTTTTGAATAACAAATAAAAAAACTGAGAATTGTCAAGTTTCTTCCCAATAAAGTTCTTTCAGCACTTCGGAATTGTTACGTGTACTTCTAGTGCACAGCAATTTCAAATTTGATTACTTCTATATTACATAATAAGTTAAAAAGTTCAAATGATATAAATGTGTACATCAGATAACCAGTCCAAATTATTCCTTCCATTGAATTCTTTTCCTTGGTGCTGATATGGCTCTCCCACCAATTAATTCACATTCTAGCTTGGGTCTTACAAGATATAGTTGATTCTCAGTCACCTTAATTTCTTCCTGAAATGGCTATTCAGCTTTAGCTCAAGGATGCTATAGATGAAGAATTCAAACTAATATTATGCATAACCATGGAGTCTCAACTCTTTTATCTGCTTAAAAGGTATTACAAGATAGAGTTGGTTCTTAGTCACCTTAATTTTTTCGTGGGATGGCGATTCAGCTCTAGCTCAAGGACACTATAGATGAAGAATTCAAACTAATATTATGCATAACCATAGAGTCTCAACTCTTTTAACTGCTTAAAAGGGTATTTCAAATCTGAAGCACAAGACCATCAATTCAAGCGCAAATTAAATGTATAGATGAGAACATAAATGCCAGAGACTTTTCAACATTATCTATTACATGAGAATGCATGAAAAAAACCAAGAGAAATGAATAAGGAATAAGGTGTGCTTAGGCTCTTAAAATCTAAAGCTATATTACCTTTACTTCCTTGTATAGTTTTACTTCCCATGCATACAGCTTATCCAGTGTGGACGAAAGGTTACACACGTTATTTTCGTCCTTCTCAGCATCCCCGAAATAAGACTTTGCCAACTTCAATGTTCTAGAAGCTAAATTTATTGACTGCATTGATGGAGGATTTGATGACAACAGGGATGGAGCAATGGGGTGCAAAATCCTGGAAAGAATTACTGAAATGACACACAAGTTATAACAGAATCTCAAGGTATATTCTCAAGAATATCACTTGTCATTACTTCAGGAAAGAATATCAAAGATACCTAGAGGAATTCTAAATAGATTAAAAAGATGCATCGAGGAAACTAAAGGCATGTGTGAGCAAAAAATAAAGAGAAAAACAAAATTTAATAAAAAAGAAAAGGAAAATCAAAACTATGGAAAATGAAAAGGCCAACTTCCAAAGCAAATTAAACTTTAAAGCTATAACAGAAATATGCACGTATTTTATAAAGCATCAATCGTAAATCCATATTTTGAAGGAAAACAGGGTATCACATATCTTCCGCAGATATTTTTAATAACCTATTCCTAACAACCATCCTCTGTTCAGCCATACAACAAGATAATACAAAATGTACCAATGCATAGTGAACAATCCTGTTAGTCTAAACTCTTCACTGGTAGGAAAACACTAAACTACAGAGAATTCCAAGAATTAAGAAGGAAAAGAGAAATTTATAGCAAGAAGGCCACCTTTTAGAATGCCGGGATGATAAGGTACCTTCCCAACTTCAAGCATCATCGCAACCTCTTTTCCAAAGCTAGAGGCAATCTGGAAGTCATCCCTGATTTCAGCCACAACCTCCCGAAGATCTCGAGTACCATGAGGTGATAATGTAGTCAAGCTGCTCAACTTGGAGGAATCAGCTTCATACTTTGGTGTCTCATCCACCTCAAAACTCACCCCTTTCTTTTTCACAGAACCCTCATCTACACTCTTCGTTACAGGACTTTCTGTACTGGTTTTTTCATCTGTCAAAACAATCGACCCGGTAGCCTCACTACTGGGCGACGGATCTTCCCTAAGTATACTTTTAGTATACTGGGATGGCATTGATGGTTTTGCACTTTCCTCACTACTCCATGAAGGCACTGATCTGGAACTACCCTCACTACCCATATGTAGTGCCTCTGATCTTGAACTGCCCTCACTTTTACGCATTGGCCCTGATTTCGAGCTACCCTCACTATTTTTATGCCGTGGCAGTGATCTAGAACTAGAAGTGCTTGGTTTCGAAGTCTTTCTCGTTTCTGCATTCTCTCTCTTCCCCTTTTGAACCTCTCTATAGACCTCATTCTCTGTTTCTTCCTCTAAATCAGGAATACCCTCTCTCTCTCTCACCTCATTTGAATCCGGGCTGCTAGAAATCGAGCCATACCCATATCCACCAGTTGAATAATAACCCTGGTACCCGATATCGGGCCCATCAAACAGGTTAAAAAAATCCCACGCCGTGGCCTTGGGCGATGGTGGAGGCGGTGGTTCTTTAGGAGGACTCACTTTCACACCACCATTTCCATAAGGGGCCGGGTAATTCCAATATGAATTCAAGTACCCATTAGTCGACTGGGCTGGTGTCGCCTCCTGAATCACTGTTTTCATATCCGGAGCCGACTTCCTCATGTAATTCACATTCGAATTACTCGAATAGTATCCCGGCATTGATGGTGGCTGTTGCGGCGGCATTCCTGGTGGGCCCCACAAGTACTGATCCATCGGTTGTTCCATCGGAACATAAGAATAATAAGGCTGCCCATATGAATTAGACGGTGGTGGGTATGAATAACCATCATTCATCATCCCATAACCATATCCATACCCATTATATCCACCCTGCGGATACCGAAATGAATCCCCTTCTTCGACGTGATGCAAACGATTTCCATCCTCATCATCATTCTTGTGTGTATGTGTATGATGATGATTCCAATCATCTTCCTCATCCTCATCGGTATCTGAAAAATGTATATGAGACTCATCATCCTCATCACCATGGGCATGTAAAACAGAACCACCATTAGAACCCGAGGTCCCTGGATTATGCGAAGAAGAACCCTCTTTGTTAATTTTCCTGGAGTTCTCCAACGGCGGAAGAACTAAGGAAGGCGAAGACAGAGAGGAGGAGGAAGGGGAGGCAGTAATTAGCTCCTCATCCACGAATTTCTTGAGAGCATCGCCTACTTCCTTGAGGGACATGAAGTATGAAACGTGGGCCGCCGCCAGGGCGAAGCGGTGTTCGGCGGCGGCTCTAATGAGTTCCCTCCGCTCCCGGCAGCGGACCACCAGAGGCAAGTCGTCCGCCTTGGACCCACTACAGCCCATGCCACATACCAGAATCTAGGGGTGAAACTTTATGCAATCGCATTGTGAATGGAAAGAAAAAAAGAAAATTCAAAACAGGTAAATCCTTGAGAGCGAAAAAATCAGAAAAAATATAGAGAGGAAAACTTTGGAGCTAAACTCGGTTTAATGTAATAGAATCATAATGGCGGTGGGGCTGGGAAGAATGTAATGTACAAGCAATGAAGCACGAGGTACAGCATCTGGTTTTTGCAAATTTTGGATTCATTCATGGATCTGGTGTGCCAGTAATACCCGGAAATGTAGATTATGTAAGAACATGTCTGGAAATAGAAAAAGGGTTTTAGAAAATTCAATCTAAATCTGACCGTAGAAATGGAAAGAAGTGTATCTTTGTCGATGGTTCAAGAAAATCAGTAGTATTTTCTTGATTATTATCCCTTTTTCTCTGTTCTGAATCAGCAGCAGTGTGAAAATGTGTGTTTCTTGGGATTTGTTTCTTGTGTGTCAGTGTGTGTCAATTAATAAAGAAGTAAATGTGCCGAGAAGTGTGTTGGGTGAGTGGGTTGGGCAGAGGAGCTGAGGAGGAGTAATGCTATTAGTCTCGGTTGCAACCTCAATCCGACTGAGAGATATTTAAATGATATAAGTAAGATTAAATTTATCATTTAATTACATATTTTTATTTAATCTAGGATTTAGTATCGTCTAAATTGAAATTGAAATTGAAATTGAAATTGAAATCTCAATGAGACTATGTAGACTAATTCTTGATGGGATTTAGTCCTCATTTAGCCTCTATTAAATTAAATTTCATATTTTTCTTTTCAATTTTCAATCACACATTCTTTCAAAAAAATACTATTATCCCATTTTAGCCTTTGTTTGAGCTCCATTTTGAGGGAAAAATACATTTTTGAATAGTATATTGATTTAAAATGTATTATTAAAAAATAAGAAAAAAATTTGAATTTACGTGTAATATTATTTTATTAAAGAATATATTGTTGAAATGATGTCAAAACACTATTTAAGATCGTATTTTTTTTATTTAAAGAATTGGGATCAAACAATGGCTATATTTAGTATTATTTTATTAAAAAAATGTGATTGAAATGATATTAAAATACTGTTTAAGATTATTTTTTAATTTTTATTTTTTAAAAGAATAGGGCTCAAACAAGGGCTATATTTGAAAAAATAGGGCCAGACAGGGGCTTATTTTGTTTGGTTGTGAGAAATTTGGATCTGTTTTCTTGGGGAGTGGAGGTGGTGGCGTGGTCAACGTTGTCAGAGGCTGGCAGAAGGAGGAGGCTAGCATCATTAATCCAACTTTTTTCATCCCTTCATATGTTCAGTAATATTTTTAAGTAGAGCCGGTTTGGGAGTGATTTTTCATTCAAAAATTTGATTTTTTATTTTTATTTTATTATTTCAACTGTTATTTTTTACTTTTTTTCTCAGAGATAGCTCTCATCTTTTTCCTAATGGCCAAAAATTCAATTTTCAAAATCCCTATTAAACACGTCCGTAATGTTAATAATCTGATTCGGGTTGGACGATGAACTAGAGATTTCAATCTCACCAAAAATCAAGCACGAGCAGTACTCTGATTTAATTCTCCAGAGTCAAAGCTACTTATGAAACCCAAATTATGCAAAATTTCATACTTTAAAGTAAATAGGAAAATTTTCTCACATTGTTTTGTACCATAAATTATTTTTATAGATTCAACGGAAAATATTTAACTGAAGCAAAACTTTTAATACTCTGGTTGTCATTCGACAGGAATCACAATACCAACTAGTAATTTGATTGATTGATGGATCAATTTGTGAGTTATTTCTTGTCAACGATCTTAACTTTATAAGTTTCTTGCACATTTACACTAATAACTTTGACTTTCATGAGTTTAATCGTTATTACTTTGAAGATGTATAATCATTATCCGATAGAAATTGCTAATAAATTTGATATACCATTACCACGAGGTGAGGTTTGTGACATTGCCCAGTCAATTCCTCAGCAAAAAAAAAAAAAAATATTATTAATATTTTTATAAATCAGATGTTGGGTTAATTCTGACCAACAATCTTCGCTCAAACATAATTTGTGTGCTACTAATGTTTAGCAAATTGTAGCAAATAAAGTTTATTTTTAATCATTTAATATACTTTCAATATTAGCTCTGTTTTTATATTATTCTATAATTATAGAACGATAATTCTTCTCAAAACAGGACCACTATAGAAAACGATAAATATCACTTTTTAGGTTGTCCTAATTAGTACGCAAGACTTTATATGATTCTTCTCTCTTTTTCAAATTTTAAGATGTCAAAAGCGTGTTTTGGAATTCTGATTCTTTCAATTGTCAAAAAAATGATCATAGAGAATTTATCCCTAATAGCATTTTCTATGTAATTTGACAT